CCATTCTGTACACTTCGAGCCATTGCACGAGCTGCTGGCGTGGCAGCTGGACGTGTGCTCGTGCGGGGGCAGGAGCAGGGGGGGGGCGTCCAGTGCCCCCCCTCTCCTATGCTTCCTTCCTCTGCGCGTACTCAGCCGGATCTGAGCATGCGCAAGGAAAGGAAGCAGAGGGGGCGGTCCGATTGGAACACTGGGGTGTTTGTTCCAAGGTATGATATAGGTTACGGGACAGGGATATGTGGGTGACAAGAACTGCTAGCTATAAGGGGAGTTAGAGTGGAAAGGACAACATACTCATAACGCGGGACACAGCATCAGTTAGGCGTTGGTTTCAGCAAATGATATCAAGGGGAAGGTGGAGAAGACGACGGCGGGTGACAGGAAATGATAACAGCTGATAGGGCTTGATAGAGAACGGTTTGTTGTTCAATCAAATGCTGGAGCCTCTACACAACGAAATTATGGAGTTTTAGTGATAGCGACATTGATGACGCTTGAAGCAATGCTATCAATTAAATAGTAAAGATAAGGGGACATTTTCACGTCATCTCTGACCACTACATTGCCAAAAAAGCCTCTCAGTAGGCGAAATTTTCCTCCAGCCATCACTCCTTTGATAGCACTAGAAAATGTACTCATCCCTCTAGGGGGGGGGGTATATACCTCGCCTGAAACAGGAAGTTTGGAAAAATCAAAAAAATCCAATATTAGAAGACACTTTCAGCACGCTTTCCGCAAATCTGAGGGGTGCAGATTTCGCTAGGTTACTATGTCTATTATGATTCGTCCACTACCGCGCAATAGGGGCAGCTCAGGCAGTTAATTAATTCCATCCCGTTATGATGTGCGCCTGGCCAGCGAAGCCAGGCCAGCTCGGCGAAGCCGTGCTAAAAAAAAAGGAGGAGAGCTCGGCGTCAGCCGGGCGATCCGACTGGTATCACAATAAACTATCAAAACTAGCACAGAATGACGAGCATCAACAAAAAAAAGGAATAAGAGAAGATTCGAATGGACCTGGAGTTAAAGTGGCGGAAGTTAGGGTGTGCGGTTATTGCGTGAGAGTTCGGTGAATAATTTTAATAGCGAGTGTATTGGTTAAAGTGTACTTTCTGTGATTCTTGAGGTCGTATAGATAGTTGTGATGTATTGAGTGTTCAGTGCACTGTATGTAGTGGAGGGACAATGCATTTCAGTGATGTTAAGTAGTTAACGTTAAGATCAAGTTTGTTGAGTTGTGTGCAAAATTTTTATTTTTGTTTTCGTTTTTGTTTGTTGTTTGCTTGCAGTTTCTCTTGGTTTTTGTGTGGGTCGTCAACAACATTAACCGCGACTAATAAGCTGTGTGCTCTGCTCAAAATCTGGAACCTAAGCTCCATACTCCATCACTTCCTTTTATAACCTTTGCTATTCTTCAGAACACGTTGAGAAATGTACTCGTTCCAGCGATCCACAACAACTTCCTTAGTGTATGAATACGATTTGTTGCACTACTTTTGAATACGTTTCAATCATAAAAAGTCATAAGCAAAAACTACTTCTGTAATACTTGGATAGATAATGCTCATAGTTACTGAAGCATATAGTATAGCTAATATCCCGATCAAATGGTAATTGCCAGAAGGTGAAGGTGGTGAAATCCCGATCCTGAATTCAATTCAAGGAACCAACGAAGTACTTCCACTTTTTGCAGCTAAGAGCTTTAAGGACCGGGAGCCATGCTCTTATCCAACAGCGCGCCCCAGTGACAGCCATGGGTTACTGCAACACGGATTCACCGGCCTCTGGAATCTGTCTTGTGCACTCTACGGAGAATCTGTACGCATATACGCTGGAAGACACTCCACGTGATCCGTGAATGTAGATTCTAACGAAAACTATAACTATACCTCAAGAAGAGGCACAGAACGATGGAGCATGCTTCTCAACAATCTGGCCTGCCTATCTAATGTGAATCAAATTTTTTCCTAGCTATTTCTAGGGCACTTCACCTGAGTGATGCCACTGCATATCGGATGAATATGTTCCACCTACGAAACTGGTAAGGCACAAAACTAAACAGCACATGAATACAAGGTTTGTTATGGCCCTAATTTGTTTTGTGCAACGAGATCAGGCAAATGACAGCTCTCAAATGTTGTCGTTGTGTTTAGTCAATACGATACGCCGCATGACTCAATAAGAGGCAACAGAAAAGTATATTGCACTGGTGCGGTGTCGAGAGCAACTGACGGAAAACCGAAACAACATTCACGGCACAAAATGCTGGTCGTTTATTTTTTACCGACGAGAAATGTACAGAGAAGCGAAGTCTCGCTGAAATTCAAACGATGTTTCATTCACGAGGGGGGTGGGGAGGTGGGGGAGGGTGGAGTTCAGGACGTACACCGCTTTTCCAGCACTGTTTTCTTCTCACTGTAGAGAGACATATTAGGTCATCCCATTCAAACGTGCCGCTACACATAGAGGAATGGCACAAAAGCAAAGGGGATAGAGCAGCGGGCTAGTATACCATTTGGAAGCTAGTACCTTAAGCTGTGTATCTGTGAAATTTGGCGAACCTAGCCTCAGAAGAAGTTCTCGAGAAATTGAAAAGAAGCCCGAGTGGTGAAAATCGGCGCCGGTTTTTCAAATCAGACGTCATAGGAGGGAAGCGCGCCGCTCAAATTTGACCTGCGCCGGACCGTAGTTGTGTGTAAGTCGGTGGTTGTTCTCGAAAAAAAAAAAAATTTTTTTACCCCCAAACGGTGGGAAGATTTGGTTCAGGAGCCCGTACAAGGAAGAAAGGAAGAAATTTGTTGTCGTGGATGGTCCCATAATATTCATCCTGCACAAGAAAAAAGGGTGGGATGAAGTAGCAGCACTGAATATCTAATTACAGAGCCTGAACCCTTGTCGAGCTTCCCCGCGAGTCTGACATCCCAGCTGCAAATGCTGCCCGAGTTATGTCCGATAAACTGAGGATGGTCAAGAGGGTGGTGCATGGGTACCCAATTTTCTTATAGAAGCACGAACGCAGTACCGATTCCTATACCTCTAGGAGTAATGTTCTCAGCATAAGATGTCACTCACAACTGTTGAAAACGCACCCCGGCCCTAGATGAAATATGGGTGGTCTCGGACCTCGAGTCGAAACTCAAAATCGTCAATTTTCTATGAATGCAGATGAGAAGCCGCCGAGTTCTACCATGAAGAGTTTACGTCGGCGCAAGTGGATTGATCATCATAGCAAAGGATTTCCACACTGTGGCTTTCAAGCGGCTCTATACAGCGAACAAAATCCGTCACTGTCGGTGCATATTGCCTGTTCCTCGGCATTCAGATCGACAAATGGATGCTACCACACAACTTACAAGAGCCACCGTTGCCTCGTCATAGTACCAGACCCGAGTAACTGTATTGTAGATCAGAGTGGTGGGACACAAACAATACTGAGACCTGGTTCAATCGCCTCATTTTCGCCGTCATAAAAGCCAAGCGATTACAACTGTTCTTATTCAGTGAGAGTACTCTCCGAGGGCAGACGCTACAATGTTTTGTCATTTGCCGAATGGCAACAACAGCAATTTACTCACACTTGTTGAAAAATCGAAGCGTACCAGAGGTCCAAAGGCCTCTGGGGCACTAGGAGCGGGTCATTGGTGAGGAGGGATTTACTCATCCTAAAGCTAAAATATCACTTTTCTATTTTTTTTCCTTTTATTGTTTCATTCAAAAAAAAAACCCGGCACGTTTGAATGGATGGACCTAATAGATAGAGGAGAAGTAGTTTCGAAAGGAGAAGACAAATTGTTGCATGGCACACTGCTTGCAGCATTCAGGCACACTGCGAGGTAGCAATATGATGGTATAGCGTTCACGTACAAAAGAAAAGGTGCTGGCAAGGGAGGACTGTCAGGTCAAGGAGCTCGTTTTCGAAACTGTTAGGTGCAGGTTGTAGAGTTTTATAAGAGGACCGCAAAAGTATTGGTCATTTTGGCGGTTCTGTGGATGACAACGAAACGTGAACAATAGGCTGATGGTTCAAATCTGCTTGCTGGAAATTTTGGCATTCTTGCGCTTTGTACTTCCTCCAGTTCATATGAGAGGGAAACTTTTGTATGAGCAACAATGTATCCAATTATATGAACAGCTCAGTCTTTCGTGGAGAAGACGCAAGGGTTTTCTTGCGCCCAATTAGTCCTAAGTTAGCACAGCTTTCCTCGCATGCACTTCTACAGCAATGGACCGATTTACGGCTCCACTACCTGAAGGACGTCCCCCCTCCAGACAAATCCAGAAACGGCACCTTGCACTAATACCCTTCAAACCGTCCCTGTACACTATTGAGCGGACGTGACACGCTACACTTTCTGGGTGTACAGTTTGTCTTTCAGCACAGGGCCAGTTCATCAATTTCAGCAACAACATCACTCTGGAAACTACTGTGCTTTTTTTTCACCGCATAACAAAACAATCGACTCATTCACTGCTACGTTTTATATCATGTAAAGGGTATAGATTATGAGCACCTTTTAAGCTGGAAATATTCTATACTGCAAGTGGCGCAATGCAACGCTGGAGATGACCTCGACTTCATCGACAAGCTGTCAGCAGCTATTGCAAAGATAATAAGAATTCGTTTTGAAAAAAAATGGTCCACGGTCTGGACATCCCCTGGACGAAGCCAATTCAACTCGCGTTAGTCTCGTGAATGTCTGAGGAAAGCAAACAAAAAATACGGTTAACAAACAAGATACGCAAAGACACTCAACACTCACTAAAAAGCTAAAAACAGGAATTTCGATGAAAATATAAAAGCATCACCCGTGTCAGTTTCACCGTCGTCAGAAAATTGTGAACAAAATTAGAAGAGAAGGAATCCTAAACGGTCCCCCTTTGAATGATACCTCCTAACAGCTAGATAAAGCAAATCGTTAATCGTTGCACGCAAGAGCTTTCAGAAAATTGATTGCTCCGAAATTATGGTAATATTTACAGCTAGAGTGAACTGCAGATGAATACTAAGCAATGTGCTGCCCATTATGAATCGACGTCGTCCTGAAACTAATAAATAGTGCAGCTCTTGTGATATACTCCATCAGTACCAGTTCCCTTGTTCCCTACTTACATTTTTGCGTGAAATATCGAAGCAGCTTTCAAAGAAATGGGATTGAAGCCCTTCGCGACCACGGATTAAGAAAAAGGTCTCAATACATTTCAAGTACGAGGAAGGTAGGGGGGATACCTTCTGATATGACTCAGGCACATGCAAGAAAATACGGGTTCCACAGAAAAATTCCAGCGGTGCGTATGCAAGGCATTCTGGGCAACGTCACGGCAACTGCGCCTAGAAGCAGAGCGCGACGCGACGACCAGCTGAGGTAAGTGCCAATAACCACTGACACATTGTCGGTAAATAAAAACGGCTCTGGGAGATGAAGGAAAGCCGAGAAGAGTTTGGAGCATACTCGGAGTTTGGCAGCGAAGAATATCCAGCAAAGTTCTCAGAAATAAAAAGCTAATGAAAAATAACACTCGTGACAATAAAAACGAAATCGCCCTTCCGGACAGAAGGAGAGCCTAGAAGGATTGAAGAATGTAAACCTTAGCAGAAAGATGTACTGAAGGCAGGAATCATTGAAGTTTTTTCTATAAGATTTAAGACTTATTGGAGCTATAATTCCATGCTTTACCGCTAACAAATGGGAATGGGCTGCACCTGCGCAGTGATTACGAGTTCTTAGCCAGTATGTCGCAGTGGTGGAGGCGAACAACTCTAACCCCTTGCGGTCGCCGTGACGTGAATGATCGCACGTTGCGCGCCATCACTGAGTTTTTCTCTTTCCCGAAAATTCTAGCAGTAAAAACTAGGACTCACCGCAATTCTTCTGTACAGTCTGCGCATTGCGTCTTCAACGGTGTTCTTTCGCTGGCTGCGCCATAACCATTATTATTCACAACTTCTTCACCACAGTGCTGAATGAGAACAGTGTTTAAAGAGCCTAACAATAAGCCTACCCAACAAGCTCTAATAAGATGAGAGTTAAAGGCATGCTTCGCGATGGTCTGATGTCCCGATGTCTCTCTTGCACAAGATGGTCCGGTCCTCGAGCGTACAGACTACACAATGTTCATGGAGAATGTGAGGGTCTTACTAAGACATTTCCTACAACTTTGTCTGCTTCTTTCTTTACTTTTAGGCCACTTACCTTAGCACGTTCCCCTTACTACGTACTTCGTACTTAAACCCCATTACCTACGAATTTGGATGGCGGAGCGTGCCTTCAGGTAATCATGCATGTCAGAATGTAGACACATTCCAGACCGCCGTTGTTCGAGGATCTCCGCATGATTTCGTTCTTTTTCAGAACGATAATCAGCTATTTTATCCGTTTCATTCTTTTTTTTTCTATGAGATATGTGTATTCTGTGCCTAAGAAACGCGTTCTGATAACTTCGGAGTATGAATGAGATGACAGATAAACCGTATGAAATGGCGCAGAAAGAAAAATTCTGACACACCATGTCTGTTACGTGGTCCGGAACGTGCTGAAAGCCACATAGTGACAACAAAATGTTAGATTCTGCCTAAGCAGCAATAATGCATCCTTTCCCTTCCGAGATTAGCATTGTGCTCGTGATCAGAAATTATGAAATTCGACGCACCGGTGAGCTGAGCATCAGCTTAGCCGTTGAATCGCCACTTCCTTTCTTTGATCGCTGTGTATATGGCGACAGAGACGCACCATTATTATTATCCATGGTCAACGTCACCTGAATTTCACTTTCACGCTGTGGCACGACAACATCGAATTGAGCACGTGAGCCCGTCTCCAATTTTAGTTGGATGTATATTGCATACATTACCGTCCTAGTTACATGAAATGCCGCATAAATCCTTGACAAGAATATGAACGCAAGGAGCATCCAGAAAGTTAGCGCTAAAATGCTTTGAGAGCGCCACACAGCATCTGCTCACGTGTATGTATCCTTTTCTACTAGACATATTTGTATTACTATAGAATGTATTAATTACTGTATTACATAATATACCAGTCGGCTCCCCGGCTGAGCCAGCGCGACCCCTTCCTGATACGACCAGGCTTCGCCGGGCGGGCGCGGCTTCGCCGCGCTTACCTTCTTCTACACCGGATAACCAACAATTATCCGGCTTTTATTTCACCTGTAGACACAGTCAACGCTCCTGGAGCAACAACATCATACCTATTATTTTCGACACTATTACCGTCTATGAATGGTGGTAAGCAGCGTTGATCAAATGCGCAGATGAGAGAGAAACCTGGTGTTAGTTGAGCATTCAAACATACGCAAGCAGGTGGGCGCGACGAAGTAAGCAGAACCGGCAAAGCCTGGCCTTATTAAAAAAAGGAGTCGCGCCGGCATGCCAGCGGACCGATTGGTATTAAATGTACGTGTGGAAACAGGTGTTCAAAAGTGTGGCGGCCTATGCACAAAAACGCAGTGAAAGTAGACCCCGCGCTTGAGAACACGCTCCACCCAGTGTGGGCGGGTCCCAACACACCACCTACATGCTGAATTCTCGACATATGTTTCTCTTTACCAAAAATTTTTCCTGATCTCCGAGCTCATTCAGATGCGAACCACGAAATTTTTCAGCAAGCAGCGCCTATCTCGAGAGCAGCCTGCCCATTTTTGGGATGTCTCCTCCACTTCGTCCGCTAATCCCTTGTGGACCTCAATCCGCCTGTCCCCGGTGCCTATGCTGCTTTGCGAGTAACTCATGAATTTCTGACCTTCGCCCGCCCATAACATCGACACAGCTCCGCACAGAATGGGCGCATAAATCTCGCTTCAGTAGCGGAGCTCCTGCACACTTTTGCTCGTCTTTCGGCACCTGGGGTCTGTTATGGAACCTTTCTAGATTTCTGCGTTTGGCTCCGCCGCCTAGCCGCCCGCTCTGTCTACAACGGCTGTGTGCCGCATCGAACAGTGATCCCTCTTGACCTTCCAATTCCGCGTTTTACAGAACTTTTGTCTGTCTCCGCCCACCTCGTGCTGAAACCATGCTCGCCCACTGTGTGCGGGTCTCAACACACCTCACGCATGCCAAACTCTCCCGAGGTGTTGCCCTCCTACACCGACTTTTTTGCGATTTCTAAACTCCCTCGGTAGCCGAGTTAATGAATTTCTCGGGAATAATCGCCTATCTTAGGAAAGCCCGCCCATTTCGGGTATGTCTCCCCGATGATTCGACAACCCCTTGCTAACCTTATTCCAGTTTTTCCCCCATCTCTGGGCTGCTCTGGAAGCGAGTTATAAGTTTTTTCTGCGGCTCCGCAAACTTTACGCGCATGTCCCGCCCACCGTGTGCGGGGCTTACAGTCGAGTTCTCTTCGGACGGTGGGGCGGTCCTTCGTCCACGTTTGCAAGCGGTCCGACGCCGCCGCGATCGATAATGGCTGATACGCCAATCAACCTGATTGCTACCGTTTTCAGCTTCGAAAAGCTAAAAGTATTCTTCGTTAAGCTTCAATAAGCAAGGGTGAGTAGTTTCGAGGAAGCTAGGTTTCTTTTGCATGAATTTAGTAAGTAGCATCAAAGTTAAACGAAGACATTCACGAAAAGTAAAAAAATTGCGAAAAGAAAGAAGAAACAAGTTCTCTAAGAGAGTTTCATGCTGAATTCATACAGAATGTAATCTTATTCCAGTAAACATACTCACCTCTGAATGAAACCGAAACTAGACATTCAGCTTTTACAAGCTGAATATTGCAGAAAAACAACAAAAATTATGGCAGAAATCAGCTGATGGTAGCGTCAGCAACCATCGATCGGCGAGAGTCAGACGGAAGAGGAGAAGAGGGCGCGGCGGATGTGTTAGAGCGCAGAGTCAGTGTCAGAGACGCGGGGGCAATGATAATGATTTCCTGGAATTTCGGCTTTCCATCGACGCGCAATCAGCGGGACGTTCGCCGGCGTGGTCGTAGGGAACGCTCTACCGTCCGGTGAGCGCTCCCATGTAGCATGGGTCACGGGTGCTATTTACACCTTGCCCGATGCTCTACCCATCCCCACCTTGACCCTACCTCTCCAGGTTGTTCTTTTGATAGAACCGAATTTCCGGACAAACAAACAAACAAACAAACGAGGTTATATAAGGCGGGCGGCCAAAAAACAAAGTCATTTCGGCCGAGGCACCATATTCAACGAAGGTTTTCGCAGCCCCAGACAGGGCAAGTGGATAATGAGTACCAGGGTTGGAAGATACCCACGATTCTTCCTCTATAAAGCTGAGCAGGCTGCCGCCAATCGCCTTCATGTACGCCCAAAATATGAAGTCATTCTTCAGTCGCGGCCTCACTGGAGAACACCTTTGGAATTCACGTGCGCCTCCAAACAGCTGCCGAGAACTTCTTGAATGAAGTCATTCCACAGATACAGCTACCAGGAGGTCATACTCTTGATTGCAGACCTCCCACATCGACCGGCTACGGCCAACGTCGCCTACGGTCTAGAAGACATCATCTTCACCGTACTTCGCCGAGGCGCGAGTGATGGTATGGACGGGTACCTGGAAGGCGGAAGTCCCGATATTTATCTTTGTAGACCGACTTGAAGCGTGGCGTGCGGTACATCAAGCGGAGGAGGCGTGGCGGGAGAAGAATATCGCTCCCCACATGTTGTCGGCTCGTACCTCCTTGGGAGACGTGTACTGCTTACAGTTTTTGACCCCAGTCTGTCTCATCCCAACATAGGGAGATCGAGGTCACGTATCGTATGGCATAGTAAAATCTCTTCGTAGCTGTCGAAGAGTGTTTACGGCGGGCTGCGTTGCGCTTGTGTAAGGAAAACCCGTCCACGCTCGAAGAGCCATGGCCATATGATACCGTATGCCCCCTGACGCTTGGGATCTCCTCAACTTACCTGGTTCGGAGCGGAGTTCGATAGGTGCAGTCTACGGTGGCGGAGAATCGACCTACCTCGCTCAACTCCGCGTACCACCCACTCTCGCACGGCCAAATCTCTCGATGGCGTCCTCCAGAAAGCTGTTGGCGGAGTATGCTTATATCATTTAAAATGCTGCTCTTTAATCATCGGTAGTAAAACTGTCCGAGTAAATAATTTAATAAAGTGTTAATTATAGCGCCCTTGAAAGTCAATGGCAGGCAAACGACTTTTTTTTTTGGCCCCCTGTATACGTGGACTGATTACTATAGTCCTAGCAAGTTATCATGCGCATGAACTTTAAATATTAGGTTGGCCCATAATTAGTGGCTTTTTTTCCCCTCACACTTCTTCTTTTTCAAAATTTTATATATACCATTTTTACTTCGAATCGGACACTTCTCAAACCAAATCGGACACTTTTCAAATCAAATCGGACACTTTTCAAATCAAATCGGACACTTTTCAAATCAAATCGGACACTTTTCAAACCAAATCGGGCACACCCGCACCAAGGGCAGTTGATAACTAGACCGCACTAGGTACTGCTGCAAACCCATCCCCAACACCCAGCCCACCTTTCCAGCGCGGTCACGGTTTTCCAAAATGTTTTATGAAATCTGCTTCTTCGACCTCTTCTCACTTTTGCTAGTTGCACACACACTTCAACTGAAAAGGATTGGTACCGATGCAGGTCTGACTCCGCCCACTTCACAACAAGTGAGGTAAGTTCTGAATTTTTATAACTTCTTTCGACGTCGGTTTTTTCACATTCAATCTTCACAAAACGAATGTGGCCATGCATTAACACAGCACTTTAGCTCCGCTCCTCTGGCCACGCCCACTTCCGTTTTTTTTTGATTTTCCTTCCGAATTTTCACTTTTTTAGGCTGTGACAAGCGACCCCGCCCACTGATGGGAGCTCCGCACACTTTGTAGGAGCAACGCCCACTTTTCGAAAATGATGCAGCTCGGCGAGCTAGTAACCGTACTAGCAGATTATGGCCTCTCCCGTCAACCGGAACAAAGTTTCCCTTTTTTGTGCTCTTTCCCTTTTTCATTCTATATGACTGGAGAGGCCATAACCTGCTAGTACGGTCACTAGCTCGCCGAGCTGCATCATTTTCGAAAAGTGGGCGGGGCTCCTACAAAGTGTGCGGAGCTTCCATCAGTGGGCAGGGCCGCTTGTCACAGCTTAAAAAAGTGAAAATTCGGAAGGAAAATCAAAATTCCGCGAAAAACGGAAGTGGACGTGGCCAGAGGAGCGGGGCTATTGTGCTAGTGTGTTAATGCATGACCATAGTCGTTTTGTGAAGATTGAATGTGAAAAAACCGACGTCGAAAGAAGTTATAAAAATTCAGAACTTACCTCACTTGATTGTGAAGTGGGCGGAGTCAGGTACCAATCCTTTTCAGTTGAAGTGTGTGTGCAACTAGCAAAAGTGAGAAGAAGTCGAAGAAGCAGATTTCATAAAACATTTTGGAAAACCGTGACCGCGCTGGAAAGGTGGGCTGGGTGTCGGGGCTGGGTTTGCAGCAGTACCTAGTGTGGTCTAGTTATCAACTGCCCTTGGTAGCGGGTGTGTCCGATTTGGCTTGAAAAGTGTCCGATATGATTTGAAAAGTGTCCGATTTGGTTTGAAAAGTGTCCGATATGATTTGAAAAATGTCCGATTTGGTTTGACAAGTGTCCGATTTAAAGTGAAAATGTTCAAAAAGCGCGAATTGTTTCAAATGTGTTGTATACTATCTTACTATATATAATCCGCTAGGTTTTTTTGTTGATACACTATAACACTGTGTGTGTGTGCTTTTTTTTACCGGAAATTCACAATATTCTTTGATTTAGACGTAGAAAGTTCGGATTGATCAGGGATATAGTGCGTGCGACTGGAACATTATTGGTGGGTGACAGGAAGTGATAAAACTGATATGAG